TAATCCTTCTCAAATCCTCAAACAGCTGCCTTCTATCTCTCTCCTCATTGGAGGCATAAACAAAAGTGGCAAAGAAAGGTGTAGTAGCATTCACAAGAACATGAATGAATTGATCAGAAGCATGCAAGATCCTCAGAGGGACCTCCTTCTTCCATGTCAACCAAATCTTCCCCAAACTATCTGAATTATAAATGATCTTGTTCCCCCAATCTTTAAACCTCTTATTCAAAAACTTGGCTTCCTCTTTCCTTCTTATTCTCGGCTCTAATATTGCTACTATACTAATATCATACTTGTTTATTTTCCTGCATATGTCTAAGTATTTACTACCAGCTACAAACCCCCTAGTGTTCCAGGTTAGCAACTTCATTATTTACGTTTCTTCCCCTTTCCACCCTTACCCCCTTTTCTCACCACTTGGAAATCAGCCTGAGGTTCATCAATCCATATATGCTTTCCTTTCCCAGCCAGAACTGGTTGCACAGCTTGAGGAGGTGAAATGCCAGATACCCCTCCTTGAATCTGAGTCCCTAAGCCTCCACCTTTAGGAGTGGTCTCACTCTGCTTAGTTGTTGAGACAGGCATCCCCCCTGGACTCCCCTCACTCGGCGACCCCCTGACCACCTCTGCAAAACTCAAAGAAGGACTCACTATAGTAGGACTCGGAGAGCCCTTGTCTATCAAAGCTTGTGGAGTGCCCACAGTCTGCAAATCCTGAACCACTATGTTACCCGCTTCTTGCACCACAGCCAACTGAATCACTTCATCAACTCCTGCTAGCACCTCATCAGCCAATGCATCACAGAAAACCTCATTAACAGCCAATTCCTGAGTCCCCTTGACAGCATCAACCATGACCTTTCTTGGCTTCCAAACCCTCTCTGGACCAGATACCTCACCATCACAACAGTGCCCAAACACCCCACACTTAGCACAAACCTTTGGCAAGTTACTATACTCGATTCCCACTTCAAAATAAGGATCATCATCAGGATAGAACTTAATACTGGGAGGAAACCCAAAATCAGCTTTCAACTCAATACAGGCACGAGAGAACCCTAGCTGACCACCCACTCTAGTCTTCTGATCCATCCATGGCGGCTTACCCATTGTACTGGTCACCCATTCCAGACCCTCTTGTGCCACATATTCCAACGGCAAACCCCAGATTTTCACCCAGATAGGAAGTGTCTCCACCCGCGGAACAATAGGTTGAATACCAGAATGCCATTTCCTGAAAAAGATGGGATTCCCCCGATGGTGCCATGGACCCGAGCGAAATACCCAGTCGCATGAAGCCGCCGATGGGAATTGGAATACGATGAGCTTTGAACCAAAACGAGAAACTCTCACCAGACCGTCTCTCCCCCATAACCTATCCGCCCATGTCTGAAGAGCAGGGATCTCAGGTCGACTGCCCACGAATTGGCCAATCAGCGAATCCTTCCACCGCTCCGCACCCTTCTCTTTCACCTCCTTCGGAATTCTGAAACCATCCTTCACCTTCTCCGGAGGATGGAAATTGAGCCTATTCTCGGGAGATACCTCGAAAAGCTGCGCCCAAGAGACACCATCGCCAGTTGGCGACGAGCCCGACGGTGAGGCCACCATCCAGGACCAAACGCGAACCCTAGATCGTCGGAGAAAGAGAGAGAGAGAATGCTTTTTGGTCCTTTTTACTTCCAAATGTACATAAAAAAAAGTAGTACTAAGATTCACTTGGACTAGATTTACATTATAAATATTCGTTGCTTTCATTAATTCGATAACACAAGAACAAATATTTTTGTACAGAAACAAAGATGATTATCATGCCCCATGCATGGACAGAGGTAATCGAATATTATACCTCTTCGACATTCCTCTGCTATAGCCCTATTATTACCCTTCCTCTAATCTCCCACCCTAATAAACACTCTTTCATGACCTTCCCCTTTCACCCAACCAAAACTACAGCTGCAACACTCCCTATTTCCACACCTAAAAAATGAAAATTTTCCCCAACAAAAAGGAAGCAGAAGAGTTGAAAAGACCAAATGAATGGACAACCCAAAATAATAGGGGGGAAATGTACAATGGACAGAAAAGAGAGCACAATGGCTTAATAATTAGCTTGCTGCTGCTCCAACATTTTACTCAACTGATGTAGCCCCTTGGGTGTTCTCCTCCCCCACATCAAATAGAGATTTAGTTGGGAGAATGGAGGGAGGATACCATTGATCTGGGACCATCAAGAAATAGGTAGTCATTGCCCCTCTTATCCCTTTCTTAACTATTTCCTAAAAATTCAGCGGCCACCTACAGTTCTCGCTTCCTTTTTTTCTTCGCTTTGAGATGCTAAGGAAGAAGATGTGGCGATGATGTCAACATCCAATTGGGAAAAGTCGTGTCGGCAGCAAAAGGGGAAGCTCTGGCTTGAATGTGCTTTGTCAATTGATAGCCAACGCGCCATGAAACCTGTCGACCGAGGAAGCGCCTCTACTGGCCATCATTGCTCAATCGCAACCGGAGATCAGTTGGTCGTCAAATACTCAATGGTGAGGGGAGACAAAGAGAGGTCTGTCGGTCAGAAATTCGGGTATAATACCTAGCTAGCTTGATCAATTTTTTTTTGTCTCAACTGGATCAACTTTACTAATGTTTTTTCGCGGTGGTGGCCGGTTCCTGTTTGCAGTGGCCTGAAGTCTTGAACGACAGGGATGACAGTGGCTAAAACAATCTCTTGACTACCTGAGCAGGACCAGTATGAAGCGGTAATCAAAGGAGGAACTTAGAAGCCCACCAATAAGTATGCTTTGGTCTTACTCTGTTTGTCTTCCTCTTTGTTCCTTTTATGGTTCTCGATTCTCTTGCTTCCCATCTCCAGCGACTACTTTGTACCTTGACATACCAATGTACCTGCATTGTTCTTTCTTTAGTCCATCACTTGCAATGGAATGGTTTTCTACAAAACAAATTTCATACTCCAAGCCCATCATGATGAGGAGGAAGAAGGTCACCATCACCAGTCTCCAACTTCTCTCAACTCAATTCTCTGTTCCTGGACTGCAAAACTTCCATGGTAATTAAGCTTTATCTTCCGATTCTTTTATGGTAATTCTAAACTGGGTGGGATGATTGATTTGTTTTCTTTTAGGGATGGCATAACGCTACCTCCCTTGATTTGTACGGTCCTCGCCTTCCTTCCCTCGATTGGTGAATTATCTCTCCTATCAGTTCCTTTTGGGCACCGCCTCCCCGCGTATCTCTTCATCGACCTATTTTCTTTCTATTCTGACTTCTTTTCCATATTATTTCAATCTTTTCCTGCTTTTCCCTTGGTGTTAATGCATGAAGTGGAATCTAGACAACTCACTGACCATGGTGGTTTATGTTGGGGTTGAGATCGTTTGAGGCTAAGATCATCCATCTCTATTGTCCATCGTTTTTTCCAGCACCTTCACTCTCAAACTCAGTTTATGTTCTTTCTAATAGCAGTAGATAGCTGAAACTGGTCTCTCGCATGGCGGTTTAGGTTGGTGTTGAGATCGTTTAGTTTCAGGTAGCCTAAGCTTGGTACTACTGGTATAATTGTTCCAACAAATTTTTTAATGGTCATAAGGGTTTGTTTTCTTGGATTTTTCTTACTCGTTAAGTGCAACTGAGGGTTCTTTGGCCCCATAAGATCAAGGTCCTTTACCTCCCATACAGAAAAGGTAGCAATTCCCATAACAGTGGTGGACCGAAATCTGGAGACCCATGAACCATCTGGGAAGATCAAGTTGCACTTGCCAGAGATTTGAGTCATCCTATGGTGATGCAGTTCTCAATCTTCTAAAATGATTTAACCATCCCGCCATTTATTGTAAGGAAGGTCTGAGTTCCTTCCACAACATGAATCGACAATATAGGTATTGAACTATTAGGATGAAAGGAAGAAATATATGAGGGAAGATTGGACTAGAAATTGATTGGTTGTGGTCATGTTTCTTCGGAGAGTTTTTGGATTATAGGAGTTCAAAGAGTTTTGGGGAACAATGGGAGATAAAAGGATATGTAGTTTTTATATAGAGTTATTCAAACTAAAACATTTAATATGCGTGTCTGCCTGATCTGAAACTGTATTTGTCTTGCAAAAATACCCATCATTCAATCAAGTGGAACAACCTATCAAAGAATCACTGTTGAAGCATTGTGAAATCATTATCGAAGTGTAAGCAGAGTTACTTAGTCATGAACTTCGTGGCATTGATTATTTGGCTTGCAAGGGTTTTGCTTTAGCTGCACAAATAGAACCAAAATAACAGAGATATATGTTTCTCACAGAATCAACGCACTTCCATTTGAACTTGAGTTTACTTTCTATAATCACATAAAAGATGTACTGAAACACATTCCTTCCTACTATGACATTATGAGATTTGCAGAGAAACAACTTACTTTCCTAGGCTGAAAATTAAACAGTAATAAAGTCATGCCTTGGACAATAATAGAAGGATCTAAGGGCTAAGCTAATTTGAAAGAGTATAGTTCAGTAGATGGTAATTTAGTTTGCTTTCATGACAACTAAAACGATACATGGATTACTAAAGATGATCCTACATGTTGTTTTTCCTGCTTATGAACAAACCCGTCAAAAATCAATTAGTAGTCAAAATATATTAATGTCACAGTAATTAAACTGACTTTGTTGGAAAACTCGAGTTGGTGTACAAGTGATTGCTGGGATTTTAAAACAATTAATATGTTTGATTTTCCCGTTCATTCATTATGTTAATTATTAGAGTCGTTATTGGAATTGTTTCATTCATTTCTTCTCACTGCCGTCACCTAAACTGACCACCATACGATCATATGCCAATGCAAATTAAGTTCACGCGGCGTCGCGCAGCTGCCGGGCATTGATTCTAGTTTAGACTAACAAGTATGGTCTATATCACCTTTCTTCCATGACAATAAGAAAACAAACAAATGAAAGACATTATAAAAAAAATACAAATGAAAGAATCTGATGATATGTGATTCATTTCAATTTCAGGTCAACAAAGCAATGAGTTGCTCCAAAAGCCTGCTTATTACATGAAAAATTGTATAACTATACACTAAACAGACAAAGTGTAAACCTTTCTAATCTACCTAGCTTGCACAAAAAAGGTTCTTAATATGCTCAGGATTCAACCAATCGCGAACGTGGCAATAAGCAAGCTAACGACCATGAAAACTGCGTAAAGCCCAACGAGGCAGAACCCCCAGAACCTGGGAACCCGAAACCTCGACCAAGTGACAACGAGCAAAGAACCCATCAGGCTCATCACCAGGAACCCAAACGCCACCACAATACCCATGTGAAACTTGAGCTGATAAGCCTCCGGATACATCTCACCCGTCTGCACAACCAAAGCCGAACCAAGCCCCACCAGCATATTGAACATGGGCCCCGCGAAGCAACCGGCCATCGCCATCGCCGGTTGTCCAGCTCTGGCCACTGCCACATCAGCGACAAGGTCGCCAACTGAGTTCCCCCAGGCGAGCACGGTCAGCCCAAGCAAGGATGGGGCGACCTCGAGGATGGTACCGAGTGCAGCCAAACAGTTTAAGAGCTCTGCAGCGGTGGTGGATATCCAGAACACGCTCATTAGGAATGATAAGAGGACGACAGGGAGTTGCTCGGTTTTCGGGGGTTGGTTTTGCAGGATGAAGTGGAGTAAGGCGAGGGAGGAGGTTGCTAGGAGGGTTATGAACCAGAGTGGGAAGTGGATTGTTGAGAGGAGGAAAGAGATGGGGTGGTTTAAGGGTGTGATTGAGCTGCAAGAGTAGAGAAGGGCTAGTGGGCAGAGCATTATGTTGGCTGATTGGTGGAATCTGTTCCATTTTGATGGTGCTGGTTGAGGGATGGTGAGGTTCAGAAGTAATGTGACAGGGATGTCCCAAAGTTTTGAGATCTGCATATGAAAAAAAGGGCAACTGTTACATTAAGAAGGTGCCTAAACAGTTCAAACTCTGACTAGAAAAGTTCATAAGATTCTGTAAATCTGCAATTATACAACATGAAGACTTAGGTTCAACAGTTCAACTTTGGCAACAATAAGGTCCAAAATCTATAAGCTTGGTTTTCGTCAAAAAAAAAAAAAAAATCTATAAGCTTGGTTCTTGGTAACAGCTTATACTGATAAAGCTACATGGCACAAGAAAATACAGATGACCAAAATGCAATGTTGAATCAACACAACCCAGCATTCAATTATAAAATATAAACATGCAAGGCTCTTATTCATGAAACAAGCAAAGCAAAATTCAACAGCAGTAAAATTTCAACGAACAGTCGAACACCAAGAGTTTGCACCCACAAAAGCCAAAAGCAGTTACCTTTCCGAAACCCTTATCAAGAAATCCAGTCCCATCCTCCTTCAAGCTTCCACCAGTTCCAACTGCCTTTTGACCACTCTCAAAATCCACCAACTCCTCCAAATCTCTGTTCCCGCCGTCTCCTCCTCTACCTCTTCCCCCGCGCTTACCCTTATTCATCCCCAAATCCATCCAAAACACAACCCCAACAAAGAAGAGATAAAACCCAACGAACCCAGCAGCCTGCCAGAAACTGATCTCGCCACTCAAATACACATAGAACAGCGACATAGCCGCAACCAGATAGAACCCTACATCTCTCACAAACGAGCCCGGATCCACACTAAACGGTGCGGCATAGATCGCCACGAACCCAACGACAAACGCCGAAACAAAAGTTCCAGCCGACAGTATCGCCCCGAAGCCCGTCCTGTACTGCCCCGACCTCACAGCCGCGAGAGAGGCGAACACGTCGGGAGCTCCATTGCCGAGAGCCAAGAGAGTGACCCCGCCCATGCTCGGGGAGAGGTTGAGGTGGCCCGCGAGCTTGGTGGTGACGATTGAGAAGTGGGATTGGGCGGTTTTGATGAGAATGTAGAATTGGAGGAGGATGAAGAGGGAGAGAATTGGGACGGAGAAGGTGGATTCGCCATTGAAGAGGCAGAAGTGGATCGCGAGGTAGTTGATGAGGCCGTTTGATGGGGGAAGAGAGGAGCAAGAAATTGGGGGGATTTGGGAGTCATGAGTTTGGGAGAGGAGGGATCTTTGGTGGATTTGGGGAGATGGGTTCGAAGGGGATTGAGGATTTAGTGCGACAAGGAGAATGGTGAAGAGGGTTAGTGCGATTGCTGCGATGGAGTTGAGAATTGGGGGAGGTGGCGGGAGAGTGAGAGAGAGGAAGGCCATGCCATTTCAGGGGATTCAATTTCAAAGATGATGCTTTGGCGTTCTTTCGGCTTTTAGTGATTGTGAGAAATGGGACCCAAGATAGTAAAGGAAGCAGCTTTGGTAGCAGCAGTAAGAAAGTATTTGTCGGTTGACGCGTTCTGGCATTCGCAGCACAGCTAGCCAAAGTATCGATTCTTTTTGCTTTGTTGAATCATTTGGCACTTTCCTGGTTAAGGTAGAGTTCTAGCTGCAGAATTATCAGCAAAATGGGTCGCTGCTGTCGAAGACAGCGATTCGGGATCTGACGTGGGGATTGAGATGGATTGGAACGGTATTTGGGTTGATTCGGACTGGACCAAATTAATACTTCAGTCCAATTTAGCAACAATCAAAAGGAAGCCATGGTCTTCAAGAAAGGTGTTTCAGTTACATTGAAATGTTCTATATACATTATACACCAAGCTTTCTGAACAACCAATTCTTTCTTTTGTCAACGTCCATTGCAACAAAGTCCTCAGCTTTCTTCTCCTCCTGATCTTTCAACAGTCTACAGGCATCCAAAAACATGTCACTGTTCATGTCAGGATTCTAAATCCAGTTGGCAGAAGAAATGCAGAGAAGAAGAACAGAGTCGTGGAAGAAGAAGAAGGGCGAAACGTACAAAAAGGAGGAAACGTTTCTATCGGTTGCAGAAGAGTTTTATTGATACAGTGTCGTTTTACTACTAGCTAATTGTAATAGCAGTTAGCCGTTTAATTTACTGTTTAATCTTCAAATTGACAAATGGAGAGCAGCCAAGTGGCATGCGCCTGTAATCCATTCTGACTTTGTTTTCTGCTGGACTATATAATGAAATGCAGAATCTCAGAGACAGTTGAAGATTACTCCTTCCACAAAACCCTTGCTAGGTTTTCTCTTATGGTATCAGAGCGGCCGCTCTAAGGGATTCCGCCATGTCAGGAACTAGCTCACCGTCACCCAACACGCCGCCGAACACCGGCAACGGAGCTAGAGTCATCGATCCACACAATGTTCAGTTTGGGTCGTTTGGAGCTGAAGGAAACACTGGGCTCTCAGGCAACACAGAGGTGATAATGTTTGGTAATCCTCTCTACCTGAACCCTAATGAGAATATGAGCCTACCCATCGTTTCTGAGTTGATGGATGGTAACAACTATAGCATGTGGAGTAGATCTGTAATGAATGTCTTGAAAACAAAACACAAAATGGGTTTTGTGGATGGGTCTCTGCCCAGACCAGTTGTTCATGATCCGCAATTTCATCTATTGGATGGTTGCAACACTGTTGTGCTTACATGGATTTTGAATTCACTGAACAAGGATATAAGGCGTTCAGTGATGAGGCATGATAATGCCAAAGTTCTGTGGGATGAGTTAAGGCGCAGATTTGGTCAGTTGAATGCCAACAGGCTCATCAACTTGGAAGACGAGATACACAAATGCAAGCAAGGAACTCAAAGTATAACTCAGTATTATACCCAAATCAAAAGCTTATGGGATGAGTATACTGAATATAACCCCATTGTGGCATGTAATTGCCTTCCAGAAAACACTAATCCATGTACAACTGTTGAAGCTTTTGAGAGAAAACAGGAAACATACTATTTAATTCGTTTTCTCAGAGGTCTGAATCCTGATTTTGAGATCATCAAGAAGCAGCTGCTGATGTTAAAGCCTCTACCAACTGTTACCATAGCAGTTGATGATTTACTACAGTATGAACAAGAGCTGAAGGCTCATGGAGGAAGTAAGAAAGGGCAATCAGTTGCTTTGGCTGTTGGAGGAGAAGGACCACGAGACAATGAGGCAACAGATCAGAGTTCAGGGAAGAAGTTCTGTAGGTTCTGCAAGCGCACCAATCACTACATTGAAGAATGCTGGAGGTTGAAAAAGAAGAAAGAAGCTGGAGAGAAGGAAGGTAAAAGTCAACCAGGGAGCCAGAGATTTGCAGGATCAGTGTCTCAAGGGAGTTCCAGTGGGAGTGAAAATCCTACAGAAGCAAGCTACACAAGTGACACTAGCACTGTAAGTAGATCCACACTTGGCTTTACACCTGAGGAAATGGCTAGATTGAGGTACTTGTTGCAGGCTGGTGCTAATCAGCCACCCATACCCAATTCCTCACCTTCACCTCCTAGCTGACCTTCCATTCGACACCAAGCCTTTTCTGTGTCTCAGTATTTACCACCATTCCCAAACTTTGAAGGTAAATATGTCCTGTCCTCCTTAGCAAGTGTCAATAGCAATCACTTAGTCAACTTTTGGATCCTAGATACAGGTGCATCTGACCACATTGCATGTTCTCTAGCTTTATTCATTGATCATAAGCGAGTCCATGACACTTTTGTGCACCTGCCAAACACCACAAAGGTTCCAGTAACTCATACAGGAACTGTAAAACTTCCAACAGGGTTGCATCTATACAATGTACTCCTGGTTCCTAGTTTTTCCTTTAATCTAGTGTCAGTCAGTAGGCTCACTCATGACTTACCCTTACCCTTAGCCTTACACTTCCATTATGATCTTTTCCAAATTCAGGACCTACTAAGCAAGACGACGATTGGTTTAGCAAAAGAATCTAGAGGACTGTACCAGCTCAGTTTTTCAAGCTCTTCACTCACACTTCTAGTCCACCTACCACAAGCTTCCAGTGTCTACAACTTTCACCCTCACCAAGTTGATCTCTGGCATTGGAGGCTAGGACATCCTAGTAGTGATAGGCAATCCTTAGTACACAAACTAGATTCTACTGTTTCTATTTCCAAATCAGAACACTGTAATGTCTGTCATCTTTCTAAACACAAGAGACAACCATTTCCTATTAGTACCAGTACTGCAACAGAACCCTTTCAGTTGATACATATCGACATTTGGGGTCCTTTATCAGTTGTTTCCTATGATGGTTATGTCTATTTTTTAACTGTGGTTGATGATTGCACAAGAGCAGTGTGGGTGTACCTTATGACACACAAAAGTGAAGCCAGAGATTTGTTTAAAGGCTTCTATCAATTGGTTAAAAATCAGTTTGGCACAACTGTTAAAACAGTAAGAAGTGATCAAGGAAAGGAATTTGATATGTGTGACTTTTACATGGCTGAAGGAATAGAGCACCAGATGTCCTGTGTGTATACCCCAGAGCAGAATGCAAGGGTAGAAAGGAAGCATCAGCACATTTTAAATGTGGCTAGATCACTCAGGTTTCAATCTGGAATTCCATTACTTTACTGGAGTGACTGTATAATGCATGCAGTTTACCTCATTAACAGAATCCCTACACCAATTTTACACAACAAGTCACCATATGAGGTCTTGTACAAGAAAGCTCCTTTCTTAGGCCATTTAAGGGTTTTTGGTTGTTTGGTGTATGCTAGTACAATAGCAGCAGGGAGATCTAAATTTGATCCCAGAGCCAGGCAGTGTGTACTGCTTGGCATTCCTTCAGGCCTTAAAGGATACAAGCTTCTTGATCTCAAAGATAACCAAGTTTTCATTTCTAGAGATGTGGTGTTTCATGAATCTATTCTGCCTTTTAGACATGACTCCCACACTACTGTTCCTTCCTTTGATCCTACCACCTCACCTCAAATTCCCATCCCAACTTCTCATCCACCAGTTCATGCTCCTGGTCTAAGCCTACCTCCATCTCTTCCTACACATGTATCACCCTCTACTGATGGGGGGCACTATACACCTCCTACAACAGAAGAGCCTGAAGCTGAGCCTATGAGTGATGACACAACAGCTGAGCCTTATAGTCATCAAGATTTTGAAATGGAAGTTGAGTTAGAACCTGAGTTAGAACCTCAGCAGGATTTTGAACCATCCAAGAGACCACAAAGGTCTCATAAACTACCTGCTAAGTTTGACAATTGTGAATTGGATCCAGATCTGAGTTTTGGTGCTTTTGGTTCTTGTGGAGCAGCTTCTAAGTATCCTATTGAGTTTGATTTGGATCACTTGAATGCTGCTGATAAAGCTTTTGCACGGAGTGTCATCTCACAGATTGAGCCAGCTACATTTTATGAGGCAATGCAATCAGATGTGTGGAATAGGGCTGTACAAGAGGAGTTAGGTGCCTTGGAACAGAACCAAACTTGGGATGTGGTAAAGTTGCCAGATGGAAAGAAAGCCATTGGCTATAAGTAGGTTTTTAAAATCAAAAGAAGAGCAGATGGCACTATAGAGAGGTTTAAGGCTAGGCTGGTGGAAAAAGGGTACACTCAGGTCTATGGAATTGACTTCCTAGACACCTTTTTCCCCAGTAGCTAAGATAAACTCAGTGAAAGCATTACTTGCAGTGGCTGCAGTCAAAAATTGGACATTAGAACAGTTAGATGTATCTAATGCCTTCCTACATGGGGACTTAGAAGAAGAAGTGTACATGAAAATACCAATGGGACTTGATCTGAATGGTATTGATCCAAGAGGAATGGCTTGCAGGCTGAAGAAATCACTGTATGGGCTTAAACAAGCATCAAGACAGTGGTTTGCAAGGTTGACAGGTTTTCTATTGAAGAATGGGTTTGCTCAATCAGCTTCAGATTACTCTTTATTCACTAAATGGGTGCATGGCAGAATTGTGGTACTGCTAGTGTATGTTGATGATATCATCATAGGAGGAGATGCACCAAAGGATATAGAGCAGATCAAGAAAGCATTGAGTAAAGAGTTTAAGATTAAACTGGTAGGACCTCTACAATACTTCCTTGGAATGGAGGTAAACAGGACTGCAGATGGGATCAGTGTTTGCCAAAGGAAATATGCCTTGGAGCTGCTGAAAGACACTGGATATTTGGAAGCAAAAGGATGCATCACACCTTCAGACCCTAAAGTGAAGTTGGCAGAAAATCAAGGAACACCTCTGGAAGATGCAGAAGTCTATAGAAGGTTGATTGGAAGGTTGCACTATGTGACAATCACCAGACCAGACTTAACATACATAGTGCAACAGCTGTGTCAATTCCAGAAACAGCCTTGTAGTGATCATCTACAAGTAGCCTTCAGGGTGTTAAGGTACTTGAAGAACAATCCTGGCCAAGGCATACACTTTAGCAGCAAGGCAGACTTGAAGCTGGTGGGGTTTACAGACTCAGATTGGGCCAGTTGTCCAGACACAAGAAGGTCTACAACTGGATATTGCACCTTTCTGGGAAGTTCCTTACTGACTTGGAAGAGTAAAAAGCAAACTACTGTATCCAGATCTTCATCAGAGGCTGAGTACAGGGCACTAGCTTTGCTGGTTTGTGAAGTTGAATGGTTGAAAGGTTTGTTGGCAGAATTGAGTGTTAAAGTTCCTCTGCCTATCTCAGTTTACTGTGACAACAGGTCAGCGATACACATAGCAGAG